ATCAGGTCCTCTCTCGATCTCAGCGGGAGCTAGCTGGCTACCGTTGTCCGATCCATGGCATAATTATGACATGACTGCTGCCAGTACAAACTCTGGATGTGGTGTCTATTCAATACTAGTTTCACACATCATACATGGATGTACGTAATCGTTACTTCGTACTAAGAGTAGCCGCCGGCATTAGGCTAGCACGCCATGAAAGAAATGAGTTGTATTCACTCATTCAGAAACCAAGTACATGTATTACACGTACGGTTACTTCAACGAGAGAGAGAGCTAGAGCAGTATACCGGTACGGTGGAGGTACAAAAGCACAATCATGTCATGGCGATTGTAGATGATGCTATCATGTACAGTATGTTACGTAGAAGTTAGATGAAGGAGAAGCAGCAAGAGTTAAAAAAAGAGAACCCTGACTCAGCCTGAACGGGCTCAGTAAGCGCTGGTGATCACTATGGTATACCGGTACTGGTTATGTGCACAAAATAGCCAGCACACAGAATCAAGTCACAGATGTAGTCGAGTCATGCCAGTGACTACAGTAAACCATGGTAAACTGCTTGTTTTGGAACTACAGTAGATCTACCAGTACTTTTTTTGTACCACTCACTACCAGGGCCTGGATCCTGGCCCAGCACAGCACAGACTCAGTGCAATACTACGTAGTGTAGTAGATCTACTACTGAGTAGTGACAGTACAGCCTCATGCAGCCTGTGCAGGGACCTCGACTGGTGGTAGGGAACAGACGACGGTGCCTCAGTTACACTTACAGTCAGAGTGCTGTAACTGGCTCCGTGATTGCAGTCTTTTGCCTGTCGCCAGCAAAGCCTGCATGTCTACCGACAATGCTGGATGCTGGATTTTTCATGCATGAAAGATTATGCCCTCTCCGTTCATGAATTATCCGTTCCGATATCTGTTGGTAGATTTATTCATACAGTCAGCAGAATACTGATTACTGACTTGAAACACATACGTTCTGCCACAAAGACAGTCGGTAACACCATTGACATTGTCATTACGGTCATGTTGTTACTACATGTACTAGTACTTGTTCGAAAGTAGGTCACCGAAACAAAAATAATAATGACGATTTAATCTGTTGTCTCCAAAGACCATTCCATTCCAGTACGACTACGAATATGCACCAACCACATACATGTACATGGCCTATATAGCTTTGTGATTGTATAAAAGCTATAGTGGGCGCTCTACACACGGTAGTTGGCAAGTAAGTAGTTAGTTGTAGCTTCCTGATTTTGGTGTCTTGTGATGACTTCACTGCACGCCGCCGACGCTCACTACTGTTTTTAGACCTTCTACTTCTAGCTGCTCTGTACTAGTAGTAGTAGTAGTGGTACTATACTGTCTACATTATAACACATCACTGAGTTATTCTGTCGGCATCGAAACAGGACTGCCCGGTGTTCAGAAGTCAGTAGATAGCCGTGTTCTTCATTTTCTTCTTTCACGCCCACTTGCTGAATGTGACTTCAGACAAGTAACTGTTTTACAAAGTAACAGTTGTATTGTGTTGAGCCTGAGCCATCCCTCTGTGGTCTGTGTGGACTACCAGAAAGGCAGAATCAACAAGCAGTAGCTGCTAGGAAGCTTGAGCCGAACCGGATCCGCGGACGCAGCCTAGCCCGCATGCTCGGTGCACTCCGATTTCACGGTGCACGTGTAACACGGTGTGCCTCTTCAAGCTCTTGCCTTGCAAGCTTGAACAGCGAATTTTTGAAATAATTACTTGAACAACAGCAGATGAAAGTGCACATCAAGTCTTGAGTCTTGGTGTGCAGACCAAGAATCACCAGGCTTTGCAGTAGCCTGCGTTCCAGTATTTTCTAAGCTCGCCTAGTCAGGCTTGACGTTCTTCTGGCTTCCTGTGCGGCATCAGCCATGTGGCGTTCATATCTCATCATAGTCTGCAGCTTGCTGGGCCTGCAGCTGTTGTGCAGCACACAAGTTACACTGGGACAAACATTTTCAACAATCTCTTCAAGCCAAATGCAGCAGAGGCTGAGGACATTTTCTACATCTGCTCTTTCCGTGCAGGCAATGCAGGTACTGTTCGAAGTATATCTGCTATTTCTAGCCTTGTGCAATTTCACCGATTTAGGTATTCCTGATCCAGTAACTGCAGATTTCCAACTCTAAACTTCCAACATTGAAATCTGAATTGCATCAAGTAGAAAAAAAGTGGGCAGCCAGTAGAAAAAACTGGGTACTGAAAATAATGCAAAATAAGTTAAATTTATAGCTATTAAAGTAACGGATATCATTAAGGGACCGTCCGTAAATACATGTATTTACTTAGAGACGTCTAACAGGCGTTTCTTCCACCCACCCCCAGAAACGCCCCCCAAAAATGCAGATAATACCACTCATAATAAACACCATGCTATGCACACATATACAGTACAGTCAACTCCACTTATAACGAACTCGCATATAGCGAATTTCGTGATATAGCGAACCCTTGTCCACGTCCCTGTTTGAACCCATACAAAATTGACCCTTTATAGCGAACAGTTTTCGTTTATAACGAACCAAATCACACCTGCAAGTCGTTTCTGGGAGTACAGAGTACAGGTATGTGTCCCTGTCACATGTATGTCTACCTGGTCTAACTCTGCTGTGACGTGTGCAGCGTAGTGCGTCCCAATGCCTACCTGCACTAGCTGTAGCAGTGCTACATCATGTACATGTGCGGTATGGTATGCATGCACTCCGAAATGTATTTTTAGAAACGCTTTGCAGGCGAACCCACCCACCAGAAATGCCTATTTGACGTCTCTTAGTAAGTACATACGGACGGCCCCTAACGACAAATTAACGATAGATACATTGGTGTTATCGGTTCTTGGCGACTGTACTCTAGTACCTGTGTTACAAAAGAAGGATGCACGGGCAGGGTGATTCAAACCCCGCACCCCTATGTTACCGGGACAGTGCCCTACCCATTAGGCTACCGGGGATCACCCCCCCCCCCCCCCCGCACATACACACACACACACCAGCCAGTATCATCAAAATTCGCCTAGCCTGCCAAATTGTTCATGCGACTGACCTCGTAGCTGATGGCAAATCTATCCTTCGATCAATATCTGGCTTGCATCATACTGGCAACTCACACCACTCAAGAGGGCCCTCAGCCATTCGCTTGATATCATGGGGAGCGCATCAAACTACTCTATTTTCAGAAATTTTAGGTGCTCAATATTTTCGGTATGGGGGCAAAAGGTCAGGTTAGGTGAACAGATATCTTACGTACAGAGAAGCAGTTCCCTATTGGATTATGTGTGTTAGTGTTTGTTCGGTGTATTGAAATTTTAGGTATGAAACAGACGCACCGAAAGAACTGAAAATAAAAGTACACCGAAAATTTGTGAAATTACAGTATGTCCACTGAGAGCAAACACAAATTGCAATTTCAAATTGAAGAAGGATAGATTTGCCATCACTGTGGATAAGAGTCATACTGTAGCTCAGTTGGTTAGAGCATTGCTCGCGAATAGCAAGGTCCCTGGTTCGAGTCCCGGTGGCGTGACTGATGATTTTTTCTTTCGTATCTGGCTTGCAAGTGTTGCATTTCGGAGAGAAAAGAGCAGTTCGAGGCATGTGGCCTCTAATTTCCTAATATGTTGGTATTGTTACTTCAGAAGTACATAAATGGGGTCTTTGGCATATGCCGTGAGTCGTACGCAGGACCCATACCAATGTAGCTAATGTACCCAAGAGTGTTGCAAGAAGACAAGCACGGCACTAATACCACTTTTTGTGCCAAACTTGTCAGCCAAAGCTAGTACAGTCGTCCCTCTCTAATCCGGCACCTTTTGCTACGGCGTTTTCTGCTGGATTAACGAGGGTGCTGGATTAAGAAATCCTGCCCTCTGACCCGGCCCTACCCAATTGCATGCATGTATCATATGTACGTCAAAAGGCAGGGTTTTCCGTGTCGACCCAAGTATTTGGTGCACGGCTTTATATTCTCAATTGTTCTCCAGGAATATACACAGTGATAAAGTGATAAAGTAAAACAGAGAACATGTTCACATGTACTCTTGCACACACACGCACACACACACACACCTGAAAATTGGCAGGACACTACTCCTTGCTAAAATAAGAAAGTATGGTTGACGGTTGTCTCCTGGACAACATTGACCAAACTGGCCTAGCCTGGCCTGGCAAGGAGTGCACTTGTACGGTACGCGATTTACGACTGCCGGATTAGGAAATCAAACTACGTGCAGTTTGAGCGATTCGTTTCAAAAAGTCACTGCCGGAGGCGGAATTCAAGTGCCGGATTAAGATGTAGGAATTGAACGAAAAAAATCGGTTTCGTCAGAAAGTGCGCCGGTTGGCAAGGGTTCCGGATAAACAAGTGCCGGATTAGAGAGGGACGACTGTATATCGCAAATGGGAACTCATTCCAGTTTTCCCTACACTACTGGTAGTTTGCAGAAATAGAGTGCATTTTGGGTCTCCTGCAACAGGAACCCTGGTACCCTAGTTTGTCATGGCTGATACTGCTGATCCATATATGGGATAAAAGAGGTGGCAATTATGTGTATGTGGCGGGATGAAATGGTGCATAAGGTACAGTCAAATCTGCCGTTAGCGACCTCTGCTGTAGGCGACCATCTACCGTTAGCGACCGATTTTCCGTGCACGGACGGTTTCACATACAAACTGATCTGTCCAGAGCGACCATCTGCTGTGCGCGACCAGCGACCGCGATTTCATGCACGGTGGCTGCATTCAAATCTGCTGTAAGCGACCGCGACCCAGGTTCAGTAAGGTGCGAAACTGTACTTGCCAGTGCGTTGTCAACTGCAAAGTGTGAAAATGCGCTGTCTTGCAAGTGCGATCGACTGGCGCCTGGCCTGTACTGAGGCTGTGCTGTAGCTCTCAAGTCCAGGCAGTGTCGATCTACTGCCGTGTCGCATACGCGTACTATACGGGTATGGTCGTCGTTGAATATCCAATAAAATGATATTAAAAATCACATTATTCTCGTCGATTTGAGTACATGGAAGCATATACCTGGTATGCCGGATTTACCATACATCTGCCGTAAGAGACCATCTGCCGTAAGCGACCGCTTTTTCTTGCACCAAGGGGCGGTCGCTTACAACAGATTTGACTGTAGTAGGAAGTACACTGGTACATTCGCGACCTCTGGTATCATCCGGATTACATCTTTGCATGTACTTCTAGACTTTTGAATTTTGAAGTTCAAAACACACTACACGTATGGAACACAACGAAAAACACCTACTTCAGCGTGTCGCACAGGGTACCGACCATCTGGAAGCTCTGAAGGGAGGTGCATGAAAGAATTTTCCTTTTTCTTAAGATGGGTGGATTCGAATCCGCAACCCTGAAGTTCTAAAGCAAGGCATTGGGACTATTGACTTGTCCAGAATGTTGTCTTTTTTTTTCCGAATTAAATTCATTTCTTGGTTCCATACCTCGAATTGTACACATTCATGTGGAATCAAGTGCCGATTTTCATGATAATCTAGTTGCCAGTTATCTGAGCACGCTGGATATCCAACACTTGAAGCAGGGAGCCTCCAATAACTGGCTTGTTAGGTGGTGACTATGTCCACGTGACCAGGCACGTCTTGTCTGGTGGTTGTCTTTCGGAACGTACGAACCACTACATGCTTTTCTTGCTTCTTGTGTGCCTTGTGACTATGCAGGAGTTGTATAACAATAATGCGGAGCTGTCCACATCACCTGCGCTGAATGGTGCCACTATTGCCAATAATGTAAGCACCTTGCTTCTCTGTGCTGCCATGCCATGGTCCAGCTATAGCGGGTGCAGGAAAACCTGTGTTAGCTTCACTGGTGTGGCCCTGAAAGGGGTACAGTCTGCATATTAGGACTCTGGTTTTCATGTACTCTTGACGTACGTACATGCATTTGAGAGGGTCAGCGCGTCATGCTACCAGCTGGTGGAATGGTTACCTAATTTCTATTGTGTGGTGGTTGCGTGCTTTGGCTTCAGCTTGCAACTCAAGTGGCGTCACGTCTTACCTCTCGCCTGAGCATAGTTACCTCGCTTCGTTCACGAGCGCGTGATGCGTACAATGGCGGGCAGACATCTAGCACCCTGACTGAGTGCTGCAGGCTGTCCCGGAACAGTGTCAGCTTTGATGCTCGCTTCAATCAAACGGTATGCTACTAACACGTGTTCAGAAACGTTGACCATATCAGAGTATCAGAAGATGGATACGTTACCTTGTACACATTCACGAGACCTTTCTAGGGCGTGGGTAGCTCTAGTCCTTTACATTAGTCTGGGGTGGATGAGTCACATTCTCCTTTCCCCAATATCCGGCACAGAAAATCGCCTACATGTAGTTTTTTGTGATCTGTTTGCCTCACTGCAATGGTATACTCTGCAGCAGTGTGTTGGTGTGTAGGATGTGTGTTGGCGGTGTGTCGGTGACCGCTGTGAGCTAGAAGTCGTTATTGTTGTCATTTTGTGTCTGTTCTGTTGATCCAGGTCAACCTTGACAATGGATGTGATCGTATCAGTGCTAGTGCATCATCCTCACGGTCCACCATCAGCTCTACAATCACTGCCGAGGCAAAGGCACAGCTGAACCGTGTTCCGGAGGCAAGATTCCAATACTTTGGATCGGAAGAAGGCTATGCAACACTGTATCCTGGCATCAATATCACTGATTGCTCCGATTATGACCCAAGATTCAGGTAAGGGATGAGTGTGGTTTTTCTGTGTGACCCATGTGAGTTCTCACACGCATTGCGCTGTCTGATGGTCACTTTGCGTGAAGTTACAGCGATAATACCACCTCATGTTCCCTTCTCTCTATGGAATGGACGTGTTTGATTAGTTCACTGTTGTCGTACCATACTTTGACAGGCGCAGTACATGTGCAGCAAATTGACTGCAACGCACAAGTCAAAGGAACTATGACCTGCCAGTATTTGATTTAATATTCACTAGTTGAGGGAATGGAGTGGAATGAATGCGTGTGTGTGTGTGTGTGTGTGTGGTGCGCGCGTGTGTTTGTGCACTTGAGTGTGTGTGTGTGTGTGTGTGTGTGTGTGTGTGTGTGTGTGTGTGTGTGTGTGTGTGTGTGTGTGTGTGTGTGTGTGTGTGCTCTTCTCCTCTTTGATGTAGACCGTGGTATGTGGCATCTGCAGTGCCCACACCCAAGGACCTGGTCATTGTAGTGGATGTTAGTGGATCTATGGGTAAGATACAGTGTACATGTATTGGGGGGGGGGGGGGGGGGGGGCACGTCCCCGTGTCCTCTTGCCAGTAAAACTCATTCTGGTTGTGAGGTGTTTGCCTGGCCATGTATTAGTATGTTGTGTATTTTGTATTTGTATGTGTATATTGAATTTATGGATTCTACACAGGCATTGGCCTAAATCAAGGAAGTCTCCCATGTCAGGGTCATTTGAAGCCCGCCTCATTTCATGGCATTCTCAGTGGCCTTCCCTATGGCTGC